GAGAGAGAGAGAGAGAGAGAGAGAGAGAGAGAGAGGGAGAGAGAGAGGGAGAGAGACAGAGAGACAGAGAGAGAGAGAGACAGAGAGAGAGAGAGAGAGAGAAATTGAGAAAAGGACTCTGTGGGTGGGAGGAATGGAGCTGGCCTTTATTGGTGGGACATCCCCACTGCAGATGTGGTCCTTCTGTGATAGACTAGCAAACCAGTCGTGTGTATGTGTGTGTGTGTGTGTGTGTGTGTGTGTGTGTGTGTGCGCGCGCACATGTTATATCTCCATGGCTGACCTGCATATGCTCTCCAGGATTGGCTTTGGGTGCCCAGTGGATTGGTGGGGCTGGGCCGTGTCCTGCAGAGATGGGAGGGCTAGATTCCCCTGGTCCTGAAGGAGAGAGTGATTTCTTTCATCTGTCTCCATAAGTCAGCCAGTCAGTCAACAAGCATTGATGATGTACCACTTCCCAAGTGACTCTTCAGCCTTCCAGCCAGGGCCTTGGGGGAGCTGCTGGTTGAGAGGTTAGGGTTGGGTGACTAAAGATGGAAGGGAAAGGGAAGGGGCTGGGGCCTAGGAGGGGGAGTCGGGGGCTGGGAAGGCACAGGGGAGACATCCTAGAAGTGGGGAGAGAGGCCAGCTCTGCTGAGAGAGCCTGGGGGAGACAGAATGCCTGGGTCCCCTCCTGGGGGTAGCTCAAGGGACCCCACCCCCCCACGGTGACACATCAGCTCCCACGACGGCTTCATCAGCGGCTCTGGGAGAGCGGGGAGGCGGCAGTGAAATAAGAGGGAAGCAATTTGACGTCTCTAATAAAGCGTCGCTCCACTTTGCCAAATTAATTTTGACTCCCATAATTATTTGCTGTAGGAGCGGCCCGCTCTCCCCACCGCCGCCTAATGAGGTAATTGGGGAATTAGGAATTAATGACTTTAACAGAAGTGACAACTGACTCAAGTCAGGAGCCACATAGGGGAACTGTCTCCCCCAGAGCTCCCGGCTGGGAATCCAGGAATCCGGCCTCTCCCCTCCCCCGCTGGCAGTGAAACACCCTGGGCAAAGGCTCCTCTCAGAGCTTTACTCTCCTCAGCTGGAAAACCTGTCAGGGGCACACCCACCCAGGGCTATTATGAGGGTCTAGGACCCCAAGGCTTAGGGGCCCGGGTTTTGCCAACCTTCTAAGGTTCTAGAAATGCCAGTGGTTGTATCTATTGCCCTCAGCTCCCTGCTGAGCCAGGGAACCAGATTCAATAAGCGTATATTAAGTCCTGCCTGTATGCCAGCACTGTGGTAAATGCTGGGTATCAAGGAGTCCTGTGAAAGCTGTACCTGGCACAGCATTAGCTGAAGTCTAAGGGTGGGCCCTGGGAGGATGGACAATCCGACTGTTCCACTGTGTGATCATGCCTATAGAGGGCCAGCCAGTCCCCTTCTCCTCCTCCCCTCATCCTCTCCGAAAGCCCACCTTCCTCCTGACTCCTGCAAAGCACCAGGCAGCAGAGGATTGTGAGGCATGGACCAATGGAGGAGGAGGAAGGGCACCCCCCACCCCCAGGTCAGCAAGTGAAGCAGTGCCCTGACTATCCCACCCTAGTTACGGCTCAGATCCTTGTCCTCAAGAAGCTCACCTTCCACTAGGCCCTTATAGCTTGGCACATGGGGGAGGCGCCATGTTGTTTGCTTGGCATCATTATTGGATTTGCCATAATGATTAAGCAACTTGAAAAGTACTTGGTGAACTCCAAAGGCTCCCCACGTACTCATGATTTATTTTCGTGATGAGAACAAGAGCTGATATTTCTATGACCCTTTAAGGTTTGCAAAGCCCTTTACTGACATAACCACGTCTAACCCTACCATAACCCTGTGGAGTAGCTGCTATTATCATGACCCATTTTACAGCCTAGGAAACTGAGCCTTAGTGAGATGAAGCAAATTGCCTATGGTGACAAAGTGGATAAGTAGCAAAGGCAGAATTTGAATTCAGGTCTTCCTGACTGTAAGGTCGGTGCTCTGTCCCCTCTGTATCCAACTCCATTTATCTCTAGGCATTTTAATTCAGCGCTAGGCAGAAGTGTAAAGGAATCACAGGCTTTAGAGCCAGAAGAGACCCTGGGCAGGTGATCCCCCATCCTTTTATAGATGAGGAAATTGAGGCCCAGAGAGGAGATAGCAGCTTGTCCAATGTCACAGAGATAGTGAGGAGCAGACCTAGAATTCGAACCCAGAGCCTTTGACTTCAAATCCAGGGCTTTCCCCACTACAATCCATGATATGTATAGATGTCATTAGCTAGCATCCCTAGTCTTAATGGATCTGAGGAAAGATACTTGCCCAGAGAAGACAATCTAGCTTCTGGGACTGGCTGGTGATGGGTCTAAGGACCAGAGAGGGGAAGGGACTAGTGGAGGGTCTCAGAACAAGTCAGAGTTGGGCTCTAGAACCTCCCTCTGTCCCCCTGAAACTTTATCCTTGGTGCTCTTCCTTTTTCTCACACAGAAAGGCATTGGGAGCCAAAGTAATGTGGGTGGGAGAAAGAGGGATACAGCCAGTGATAGATATCCTATGTTGGGGTGCTCTTGTGGCTGATGGGTGGATATGACTGTGTGTGTGGGGGGGGACTGCCTAGAGTGTGCTGTGTGCACACCTCACGAGACCTTGTGAGTGAAGAGCTCTGTGTCAGTGCCTTGGCAAGGGCAGGAGAATCAGTCAGTCACTCAGCAAGTATTGATGTGCTAAGTGCTAGGGAGAGAGAGAGAGAGAGAGAGAGAGAGAGAGAGAGAGAGAGAGAGAGAAGAGGGAAAGAAAAAAAGAGGAAGAAAGAAAAAGAAAAGAGTCCCTGCTTTCAAAGAGCTCCCAGACTAATTAATGGGGTGACATACAAGCACCTACATACAAACAGGGAGGTCACCCACATACAAGAGAAACGAGAGAGCTTCACAGAGCAAGCCCTGAGACTGAGGAGGGCCAGGGAAGCCTTAGAGAAGGTGAGAGTGAACCAGGCCTTGAAGGAAGGCAAGGAAGCTGTGAGGGGAAGAGCCAAAGGGATGAGGGCAACTGGAGAAAATGCCCGGGGCCAGGAGGTAAGGCATCTTATGCTAGGAGTAGCGTGAGGCCCAGTTGTCCCTGGATTCCGGAGGACCAGGAAGGGAGGAAGGCATGAGAAGACTGGACAGTTGGGAAGGTCTAGGTTAGGAAGGGCTTTCAGAGTCAGACAGAGGAGACTCTATTTGATCCTGGAGGTGATGGGGAGCCGCTGGGGGGGTGACATGAAGACCCCTCTGGTGGCCGAGTGGAGGATGGACAGGAGTGGGGGGTGGGGCTGAAGGCAGGCAGACCCCCCAGCAGCCATTGCCATAGTCCAGGTGTGAGGGGATGGGGGCCGGCAGCAGAGCACTGGCTGAGGCCTGTTCTGAGAGGGTCTGAGGGTCCCTGGGAGGTGGACGGCCAGGAGGAAAGGAAAGGAGAGCAGGGGGAGTCAGAGAGAGAGGGAGAGACAGGGCCAGGCTCTAGCAAGCAGGTAGTTCTGATTAATCCCTGGAGCTCAGCTCCATCTCAGGCTGAACTTCAGTTTACGAAGCTGGCTTGGGAAGGGGGCTCTCCAGGCTCCGGGCGCCTGTGGCTCTCCTCTGCTGGAACCTGCTATGGCTCCTGATGCCCCCTCACCCCAACCCCAGGGTAGAATCCCGTTCCCTCCTGCCTGCCCATGTCCTCATCCCCCTTATCCTGGGAAGTGAGTGGGACCTTGCCTGTCTGATCCTTATTTTCCAAACCTGTTTGTCCATCCCAGACATCCCCCAGCCCCCCTCAAATGCACTCACAGGCCCACCCACAGCCCACGCTCCCACGGGAATGGGGGAGCCCACACACAGCTTCCCTACCTTTCCCTCTCCTGCCCTCCCCTGCACAGCAGTGACCTAGTTAGGAACTGGAAGCTGGCAGGAGAGCAGAGTTGCTGAGGTGCAAGTCCTACCCCCTCTCCTTGTCACCCCTCCACCGTGGTGGAGGGTGGGAAAAGGCCTCATGGGGCTTGGGAGGACAGGGCTGAGGACAGAGGAGGGCGCCCTGATCCCCTCCCTGACTCCTGCCACTCTGGCCAGCTGGTTCACCTTGAAAACACAAATCTGGGAAACCTTTATTAAGTAGCTGCAGTGTGCTGGGGGTCACCGAGATAAGGATCCTGCCCTCAAGGACTTTCCAGTCTAGTAGCAGGCCTTCACTAAATGGTTGTGAATGAAAAATTCTATCTCCTATCTATTTTTTAAAATTGTTTTATCGGGGCCTTTCATTTCGACATTGCTGTCATGTCAGGAAATATCCATTCTTCGCCATCCCTTCAGGTCAAACCCTTCCTTGTAACAAAGAAAAACAATTAAGCAGACATCTGCTAGCACGTGACAGTCAACAAGCATTTATTACTATTTTTTTAATTTTTAAAATTTTTTTATTTTTTTTACTTTTAGGCAAATGGGGGTTAAATGACTTGCCCAGGGTCACACAGCTAGTGTCAAGTGTTTGGTCTGAGGTCGAATTTGAACTCAGGTCCTCCTGACTTCAGGGTCGGTGCTCTATCCACTGAACCACCTAGCTGCCCCCATTTATTACTATTTTGAAAATGTGTATACCATGTTATCCCAGTAGGCTCCCTCACCTGCCCATTAGGAGGGATAACTCCCTTTTCCCCTATAGCTTTTAAATTTACAAGGTCCTTTCCGTGCAATGGACAAGTCAGTGACTGGGGGCACAAGTTAATGTGATGGTTATTGCCCATTGGCTCTGAGAGATTAAGGGGATTGCCCACAGTCACACGGGTAGTGAGTGCCAGAGTCAGGGGGACTCGAGCTCAGGACTTGCCTCTTTCCGTTATATTGTGAGTGGCTGCCGATGAAAGCCTGGATGGTTGGACAGATGGGTGGATGGATGACTGGTCTGACCCTCCTCCCTCATGCTCAGCTGCCTCTCCTGTGTACTGACCCCTTGCCTTCTGGCCACCAGGACCAGGGCACCGTGGGGGTGATCTTTAATGTGGGTACTGATGACATCGCCATTGATGAGCCCAACGCCATCGTGAGCGACGGCAAGTACCATGTGGTGCGCTTCACCCGGAGTGGTGGCAATGCCACCCTGCAAGTGGACAGCTGGCCAGTGAACGAGCGCTACCCAGCAGGTAGGTGGAGCCAGGGAGCAGATGTGTAGGGCATAGAGGAGGAGGAGGGGCAAGGCGGGGTGAGGGTAAAAGAGTGAAGAAAATGGAGCTGGAGGGTTTGGGGTTGGGGTGCCGGGGAGGTTGGGAAAATGCCTGGCATGGTAGAAAGAATCAGGAGAGACCTGAATTCAAATCCTGCCTCTGACACTTACCAGCTGTGTGGACCAGGTACGAGCCTCAGTTTCCTCATCTGGAAAATGGGAATAACAATATCTTTAGTCCCAGGGCTGTTGTGAGGCTCAGCTGAGATTACTTTCAGACCTTAAAGTACTATACCAGGGCTTCTTATTACTGGCTTGGAGAAGCAGAGGGGAAGAGATGGGGACTGGAGCTGGGGGTAGAAGAGAAGGCCAGAGAAGGAGAGAAAGGAAGGGTGGGAGACTATGGATAGACAAGCTAGCGGAAAGCTGGAGGCTCTTCCATTGGCAAACTGATGCTTGGCACTGGCCTTAGAAAGAGAAGGGCATACAGAGAGGTGGGGAAAGACAGATACACACACAGCCACAGGATTGGTCTAGGAGAGAGGGACAGGGACAGAGACAGAGACAGAGACAGACAGGGAGGTGGAAAGAGAGGGAGAGAGGACAAAGAGAGACACAGACAGAGAGATGGAGAGAGACAGAGAGGGACAATGAGGCGGGGGGAGGGAAGGAGAGGGGAGTGGGGGGGAGAGAGAACCAGTCACAGAGAAAGACATGCCCCCAAAGTAAGGAGCAGAAATCTTAAGGAATGTCCCTAGAAGATGGGTGAGAGAAGACAGGAGAATAGACACGGAGAAAGAGAGCAGGAATTTGGAGGCAGAAGATTTGGGTTCAAGGTCTGGCTCTGCCAGCTACCTGCATGCCACTGGGAAGCTCTTTAGGGTTCTGTTTCCCCTACTGTAAAATGAGAGGAGTGAATTAAATCCCCTCTGAGGTCCCTTCCAGCTTTAAATGCATGATGCTAACATCCAGAAAAGAAGAGGGATAAAAAATCCAGGGACTGTGGAGATTCAGAGACAGAGAGGAAAGAGGGTGTGAGAGAAGAGGAAAGAAGAGGCAGAGGAGAGATGGAGAGATATGGAAACAGACATTAAGACACCTGGGGAGAGAGAGGGAAGGGAGATAAAGGGAGACATTGATACAGAGACCTGGAGAGAGAGCCGTGGAAACACCCTTAAGGAGAGAAATGGGGAGAGAGAGAGAGAGAGAGAGAGAGAGAGAGAGAGAGAG